CAAGTTTCAAGTTATATACAGATTATCTACAGGGAATCTATGTGTACATGTGGCTGCTTCTTATTTACATACGTGTACATGTGGCTGCTACTTATTTACATACTAATTGTTGTGCAATATTAACAGGTGATATGCATCTGTCTCAAGCATAGGCCTACCTATGGGCCTTTACAGAAAATAATATTTAAATGTATACAGGACAGACGCAAATTAGATAATAACATGTTGATTAACTATGACTACACAATGTGGAATTTATGCAGGATTCCACACGCCTTCCCCTCTTTATAAAAAATAATGGTACATTATTTTAAAATGACATCAACATGAACAACCTGTATTCCCAGAATATAAAAATCCTTTTAATTAAACCCATTTAAACAGTTGTGCCAAACTTTAAATTTAATCTGTAATACTTGATCTGTAAACATGAATCCTACAAAACAAATTTTACCTTTTCATGAGGATTAAAATCAAACAACATATTGAAACTAGATACTCTCACAACGACCACAACAATGAAATAATGATAATTATTATGATAATAACGCCGTTTTAAAATGGTACAAATTATACCCCATTCCATCCATAAATTTTATATAGGATACTTCATATAATTATATTTTATCAAATATATGTATTCAATTATTGTTACATCCCAATAATCATTTGGTTTTAAACAAATTACACTTATAACCTAATATACACATTAATGAATGCTCCACTTATAACACGTCATATACAACACTCTGGAATGATATGCAGATTTTCAACAGATTTTGTTTTTCATTCTGTTAGGGTGTCCAGTTCACCCAACCTCTACCAGGAAGACCTGGCAGAGTAACCGGATTAGTCGCCGGACTACTCGACTCTTCTTCTGTAATATACACTTTTTCGCTGATTTAAAAAGTTCGGTATCCGGACTGTTTCGGGGTCTTGTGGTGTGGGTGTGGCAGTCTTTTCCTTCCCGGGCCGTCACGTATCGTAGAACTGGACCCTGATCCAGGGTTACAGTGTCGCAGACCTTGACGCTGAAAGAGACCTTTGCCACCAAAACCCATGCAAAAGGTTGCAATAAGGACACATCGACACCAAATCCGAAACCAAAGAAACCGATCCCGACAAAAACAATATCCATTAAATATAAATTGTGGTTAATCTAACCCTAACAAGCATCTATAGATAATCAGGCATCTCATCTAAAGGAAAAACAAATGATATCATTAATATAACACAACATTATAAAATAGGATTTCCCACGTATTTCATCATTTAAAAAAAAAAAAAAAAATTAACTCGGGACTGAGTTTCTCCGGAATGAGGCTCGTCTCACCTAAAGGAAAAAATTAAAGGCTTTAATGAACATACAACATTCAAAAATCAATATCCAGCCTTGCCAGACCTACAGTTATCGTTCTGACCTGCACTTGCTAGGCCAAATAAAATAAATTTCCTCAAAATTTGTAGGTCTTATGTGTCTTATATAGTACACCCATACATTTATTAAACATTAAAATATAATCCCATGGACACTCTTCACATCTTTTTTTTTTTTTTTTGAAGTTCCCTTCACTTCTCGACTTTTCCGTCTGGAAAATACAAAGAAAAATACATGTTCATATATATATATATCAAATCATCAACGCATTCGATTTATTTTCTTTCTTTATCAAGATACCTAACTGTCCGCCCGCTTTACTAATAACACTTCTGGTACAGCCTGTGTATTACTCAATCCTATCAAAATTTATACCCTACATTGAAAATAACCTTATTACTTTGAAAATAATCTTATCACTTAATTAATCCCACAGATACTCTGGGTTTCAATTTATGAAATTAGACGACTCTCACCTAAGCATGAAGGATGGGCCCTATCCCTCATACTAACCCGCCCCATCACCACTAGTAGTGAGGACACAGGCTGGCTTGAATAATCCAATTACCATAATGAATATTTTCCCATCATACTCTGTGCTACCGCTATATCTTCTCTCCTATTCCTAAGCTTGTCTTCTATCTTTACATGGAGTCCTTTAAAAATCTCTATGATCTCTTAACATTATGATAAATGCTGCATTTACAGGACCTTCCTATCGCCGTAGTTAAGCAATCTACCTCCATATCATCACTTCTTGTATCATTCTGACCCACTTTTCTCACTTTAAATGGCTTGGGACTTGATTGATTTTCATCTGGGACAACTTGTGTTTCGGCGTGTTGCATGCATCGTTTTCTAAATCGTGTATTGTGCGAGTGTGATGGTATGACAATTGGTCTTTTAGGTTGTGTGATTTCGTTTGATTCTTCCGAGTCTGACATGTCAACACTTTCTGTGTCTTCTTTATTATTATCATTTTCTGCACTCACCACATCATTCGCTTCTTCGCGATTTAGATTTTCTGCGTGTGCATTGATGTCAGCTCTAACCGCTGTTTGCGCTGGTTCTGGACCTTGTTGCGCGGGTACTGCAGCAGGATTAGGTCTTCGGAAAACTCTCCGAGCTCTAGGTGCAATCCCTTCCCAAGCTATGTTTGGTTCTACTAATTTCAACCTACGCCTGTTTATCGTGCGCATTTTACCTGTCTGCTGATTTACTAGCCAAAAAACATTTCCGCGATACCTAGTTACTGTGAATATCGGATCATATCTTGACCCAAATGTAACTCTATCTGGTGCCGTAACAATGACACTATCTCCAACTTCAATCTTTTCGGCATTGGCCTTCGCGTCATACTGTCGCTTTGTTTCTATTCGTGCTGTCTGGAGGTTCTCCCTAGCTATCGCTAACGCATCTGAAAGTTCCGCTAACCGGCCGTTTAGCGCGTTTGTATTATCTCCATAGGTGAGCAATTTAGATAGGGGGACTCGTGGCATTCTGCCGTACACTAGAAAATATGGACTAAAACCTGTCACCGTGGAAATGCTACTTCGATAAGCGAATAAAGCATTTGCTACTTGTCCCTCCCATGATTTGACATCATTGTTCACTAAACGCGATAACAACCCTTGTAAGTGGCATTGAATCTCTCTATTTTCCCAGAACAGGCAGGGTTATATGGTGTTGTCCTTCTGTGATCAATTCCAAGACCCGAAAGATACGCTCTGAATTCGTTTNTTTTTATTTATTTAGGAAACCAACGAAAACTTCGAATCTGAGGCCGCTGCCGCTGGTAAAAAGAAATTGATACTCTCAGCAGCAGTTGCAACAGGGAAATGGGCAGTAGAGCAGGGGTATCAAGTCGAGGAAGTCTCCAGGTATGTGTATTTGGGTACCCTTGGTAGATACCATAAGTGTGCCATAAGTCGTTTGACGATATACATAATCTGCCGAGAGTATCCGATTGCAGGTTTGAAGCATGTAGGCCTCATAAACTGTTGTACAAGGTAAAGTGTCACAGGTCCAAACTCTTAAAACGAAACTTCATCTTTACAGGGACAATAAAAGTCTCATCATTTCACGAAATTGTGATGTTATCTGTTTTAAACGTTTGATGAACATTTTAAAGGAACGTGGATTTCATCAATCTTATGGCATACGATTTCCATGAACTTGGACCTGCTCAAGGAAAACGCCTGATGCAGAACGCGGCGCTCTTTTCTGGCGAGGAAGACAATGATGTAATGGCAACGCACAATGTCGTAAGTGAAGACAAAAAGATAAATGTACTAAACTATTAAAATTAAATATTTTAGTAGAATAATTCTTTTTTTAAACTGCAAGCTTGTTAAATGAGGTGCTTTAGTAGAATAATTCTTCTTAATCTGATGGCCAGGCACTTTTTATGATATGAAAATGTGATTGAATAAAAGTTTAAGGTGAGATTATTTCAAATTTATTAATGTACTATGACAGGGCGTTTCAAAACAAATGTATTTGGGCTGGTGAAATGACTCTTGAAAGCGAAAAATACGATCTTTTTTTCAGGACTACGCCATAATGATGTGGATTAAGAAAGGAGCACAGCGAGAAAAACTGGTTCTGGGCTTGGGCGCGTATGGAAGAAATTTCAAAACCCTAAATGGTAATACCACTCCAGGAGCGCAGGCTCTCGACTATGGCCCTGCGGGAAGGTATACCGGTGAACCCCGCATGTACCCATATTATGAGGTAGGTTGAGTTTTTTCCTTAATAAATTTGTTTATTTTTAGCTACAGCTGTATTAACATACTGTATACCTCGCATTTTCCAAATTTTACTGTGACAAACCGTACACAATGTGAGCGCGTGTTGAAACGTAATTTCTGTATCATATCGTTTTATGTTTGCAAATGGGTAACGCTGTCAACTGCAAAGCTATGGGTTGCTTTTCGCTTTTGTTGGCAATATCATGGGACAATTTTTATGTAAAATTTCAATTTGCAACTGACATGCACGTTCCTATTATTCTTCAGATTTGCGAGAACCTGAAAGATCCAGCTTGGGAGGAACAATGGGATGATGAGCGAAAAGTACCATATGCTTTCAACAGACAGGAGAACCTGTGGGTGGGATATGACAATCCTAGGAGCATCAGGGAAAAGGTATACCATTTAAAGACAAATACAACAGCTTTATTCCATCAGTAGTGGAAGCACGAATATTGTATTACTTTTGCACGAATATTGTATTACCACTGTTTTGCACTAGTCTTGCTCTTGATTCTGCTGTTTACGAGTTTGGTATCGGTTTTTCACTTATAGCGGTGAATTAGCTACCATTGGATGGTATCATTTTTTAGTATACAGAGGTTTATAGCGTACAAAGTTGTTTAACTGGTGGTATCCTTACGAGCATTATATTTACGTCGCAACCATTTTAGGTTGACTATGCCGTCAATGAAAGCCTTGCGGGTATAATGATCTGGCCTTTAGATATGGATGACTTCAATAACAAATGTGGAACGGGAATTTATCCATTGCTAAGTGCAGCCAACGAGAGACTGGCTGTGTATGAGAAATCCACTACTACTACTGGCTTGACTCCCACAACAACTCGTGGTGAGTACATTCAACAGAATATTTCGCAACCGATGTTTATGTTTATTCTAAAGGAATTGTTAAGACCAATATCTAGGTAAATAATTATAATTTACCAAAATAATGTTCTTTAGACGAAAAACCAAAAAAAAAAAAAAAATTATCAGTATGCCAATTTCCTTTTAAAAAAACATATCCGTTTTTTAAACCTTTTTCCTTTGACACGCATGCATAGACAAAAATACATAAACATTTCAGTAGCGCATTCTTTTTTCTTTTAACTGTGTGTGTGTGATATTTGTCTTTCAATGTATCTTTTTTCTCTGTACAGATCGGTGCAATTTCATAAGATGCGTGAGTGCAGCCGAGCAATACTTTTCTTCCCTAAAACAGTATTCCATTCTTTCTTGTGGATTATTATTCACCATTCTGCTACGGACGTAACACATCTGCTTCTACATATGCACTGGGCACAGTGGAAAGGCTTGGGCCAAAAACATGGAATGAACTGTAGAACAACCAAGGCACTAAATCCAGCTAGGATGTTATATGAGTGTGCTGCTTGGACTTCTTGGAAAACGTGACTCAAAAGCTTATGTTATGATAAAGGCTACTGGTGTTTATCACGGTCTTCCCATAGATTGCTTAATCTAGTCAAGAATGATAACAATTTTTCAGATTTATACATTCACGTTGTAAAGATGAAAAAAGGTGACATGATATTTTTACAATGTCTGAAGTGAGCAAATATCGCAAAAATGAGAAAAGTATAAATTTTCTTTTATATTCTTTTGTATAATGCCTATTTTTATTAATATTTTTTGAGTCAATAAAAATAGTTATTTATTTTATGTCAGCTTGATTTCTGAATTCTTCTGAACCATTAATGTTAAAACAATGTTTAAATGGCTTTTGATACAGCCTAAGGACATTTATAAATTATATTAAGAAAGAAAATCCAGTGGAAGCTTTTAAGAAAAGGCACTTAAATTAGTTGAGTGCTAAAAGCCACTGTCAAAAAAAAAAAAAAAAAAAAAACTTACAGTGGGGTGTTTTACATATGGCCTTAAAGTCGGATAAAGGCCCTTAATGATATGTCACACTTTTTCATGGTATATGGAATTGCGGCCAGGGTCACTTTTCTGATAGACAACGTTGCTGGCATTACGTTCAGTGAACCTGACCACAACCACAACTGTAATCAAAATTGCAGTTTTACTGTGCATCCACCAGTGATAACGTTTCGGTGCAATTAAGTCATTGATGTTCAAGTTTATTGGCTTACAGAATTATTACTCTAAACTAAGACAGAATCCCTGCAGTTGATCAAGTTGCTAAACGAATTGCTCGTAATCAGTTCCTCACTGAAACGGTATTGCAGGAATATTGATCTCTCCGTTGAAACAAATAAAGACAAAAAAGTACGGACTATGGTTGTGACGGTAAGAGTACATACTGTAGAAAAATTGTAAATAAACGTTTCAGTTCATTTTTGGTGAACTTCACGATATCAATTGTTAAACTAAAGATGACCAACTCATTGTCAATTTGCATAGTATAGGCCACTTTATTATCATTTTTGTGCTGCACTTTCACCGTCGCTGTCAGAAAAGTACACAAACGTTAACGTCGCCGAGATGTGGATATAGCGTTGTAGTAATGTTACGTTCCTTAATGTCATTTTGGATTTAGCAGCCATATTTTAATTTTTAGACTTGTCCAATCCAGATTTGATTTTAATTTCATTGACCATGTCATGCTTGTTGATAAAAAATGCACAATTTAGGCCTATCACCAAATTGCTAAGTACATGTAGAACAGTGTACCTCGATCTAGTGCCTGTGTTTTGAAGTCGAATATAGTTTAACCAGTGAAGCTAGAATTCAGCGAAGGTGTCTCAAGGAGCTGAATCCATGAATTAAAATTGTTTTCTCTCTCTTAAAAGGCCTGATTTACGAAATAAAGGACTTGAGTCTCTGAACACCACTAGCTGTTTGATCTATAGATATAAAACTGGGTTAAGTTGCCTTGTCTTTGAGGTCATTAGTATAATTCTAGCACCTTTCAAACAAAACGCCCCTTAATCTTGGATTCTGGTTAATATTATATACTGTACTTACAATCTGATGAAATGATAAAATGTGCGTCACAACTGATAAACAGTATTTTCCTCACCCATTAGACAACCTTTAGTCATATTACTTCATGCATAGCACCTTTTAATCACTGCAGACCTGATGACCAATCGAGTAACAACCTCCCAAATACAAATATTAAGTTATACTGAGGTGAGTTTTTTCTGTATTTCTCTTCCTACTTCAGGGTTTATTTTATTAGTTTTCATTACTTTCTTTGTCAGCTTTTATTTTTCATGAAAAGAGGGATTAAGTGTGAGCAGGTTAACAAAATTAACAATTTTTGCAATATTCATTATGAAAGAGCTAAACAATTGGTATTATTAATATACACGTGTTCAGTTCAAGGTGGATTAAACAGAGCAGTACACAGTAAAATTGAAGAGAAGTAATGGAGTTTTTTTTTTCATAGGGGAGTTTTAGGTATAACAAAAATTGTAACAATAGAGACCACTCATACACAACTTAATTTTTTTCTACAAGCATCTGCTTTATGTTTTTATCAGTACACCAGTTTTGTTTCTTTCATGTAATTCTCTTTAGAAGTATTAGGTTTATGAAATGATTTTTTTAAAAAACGCCCATTAACATTTCTACGTGGTGTGAAATTTTATTTTTCGTAATATGTTACCAGAAGTTTGATTTTGAATCATATTCTTCATGTGTAAGTATTCAACTAGGGTCATATTTTTTGCTCTCAGTTGATTACTTACACATAAGAGTCATTATTGAAAAAACGTCACATGCTATTTCGATATATCATACAATAATAAATTATTATTTAAAGCTACATGTGGTGAAGGCAGGTACGCTTTTTTTATCTATATTGGCTTGTATTATATTTAGGTGCCTAATCACCCGTATCAATCACGTTACAATTCTCTTACAGTAATAGAAAAGAATTATGGATATGCGGCATCTGACAGTTCTCCTAATGGGGATTTATGTTTTCAGTTTGACACAAGGTAAGTATGGGTGACATGCATGGTTACGTATGGCCATTATCCATAACGATATGATATTTTCGCAAGCCGTTGACGTGGCCTCATTCCCATAAACACCATCGGTCTACGTGGATAGACCCAGCTCTGTAGGGATTTTCGCTGAGTGCAATGAGCTTAACTGTTAACACGCCTCTCCTGGCGTTCAGTACATGAATACAGAAAAGCTGGTGATTTTTCGAATAAGTTTGAAACAAGAGGGGGTCTGTGATTCAGTTAAGCTGTTTGCACTTATCAAAGTCCCCGTAGAGTTGGGTCGATATACGGAGACCGTTGCCTATGGGAATGGGGCGCAGTCTACTATCACTGCTACCAACTAAAGCATCTGCAGATAAAGGAGGTACAAAAACTTTACAAATGATATATTTCAGTTTTATCGGGTAGATAAAAATATGAATTTCATAGGTATTATATCTTTCATATTACCAAAAACTTAATGTATGAATTAATGTATGCTTTGAAGACATGTTACTGAGTTGCTTCCAAACACACAAACACAAGCACACACACTGACATTTATTTACGCTTTTCTTCGTCACTCGTCTTGCGAGATTGTAAGCACTCTCATTGTTCCTCAGTCTGCTAGACTTAACAGTACAAAATGTCTTATTTCTGCTATATTAAGGTTCAGGGTACAAAAGAGTATGCTACTACACCAACTGGTCTCAATACAGGACAGATGACTCCATAAAGTTCTTCCCCGCCAACATTAAGTGTGTGTCCACGAGAAAACCAAACCAAATGTAGAAAATGCGGCAAGGTGGGGGTGAACGGATTTACATCATATTTGGTGTGTTTGAACCTTTATATGAACAATATCTGAGGCTGCAATATTTCCTGAAAAAAATCCCTACTTACAGAGATATGGCCAGTGACAATTTGGGGGGTTTATCAACCAAAAATTCTTCTGAAAAACAGGGTTATATTGATTGGCCTTAAAGTTTATACAGGTGTCACCAAATGATTTAGTTTGGTGATATATTATAACCTAAAGATAGGGGATTAAAATGATATACACTTTTTCCACTCTCTTTGTTTCCATGGTAACAAACCAAGCGTTTTTCTCAGGCCTACAAACCACATGCTTTGAACACCCCCCTTCTATTTTTGACAATATCTTCATCTTCACAGGTCTTTGGGGTAAAGCGTGTTCAGGACTAACAGATAACTCATTAATCTNAATATATCATTATTTTTCCAAGGTAAAAATGGAGTCTCAAAGAGGCTACAAAAGCCGTGACTTATAATAGGCTATAATTCTCTGAAGAAAGGATATTTTTGGGATTCCTTCCTAACTCCTGAATAACTTCCTAATATGCCTCCATACAACAAATTTGGTTGAAATCCGCTGACCCCCACCTTGCCACCCTGGGCTGGTTCTCTCGTGGACAAGCTCTTAATGCCTCTCTATGTACCCACATAATCTATGCGTTTGCCAATATAAGCGCTGGAGGACTGAAACCGGACCAATGGAACGATGTGCTTGCCAAACCAAATATAGGTCAGTTTTGCCGAACATTCCACACATTGTTATTATTATGATCATGGGAAGAGTATACATATATTATTAAGTCTCAATTTGTATGAAGCGATTTAGTGATCCTTGGCAGCTAATATAGATATGCCAAAAATACCGAAATCAGTCACCCAAATTAAAGCCTGTCTGATTCTGTTGCTATAAACTATTAGATTGGTTTTAGCACCTGTATTCCAATTTTTGACTCACAAAGTAAATTTTCAACCGTAAAGTTATACATTTATGCCTTGAATAAAATTTCCCGATCTTCGTCAGCTCACCATCTTCGTTATTCCATCCTTTAAGGTATGTATGCGAAAGTCAATAATTTAAAGGTGAACAACCCCGACCTGAAAGTACTCCTGGCTGTAGGTGGCTGGGAAATGGGAACAGCTCCGTTTATTGCTGTGTCAACTACCAGGGAAAAAAGGCAGAACTTTATTTCGGGGACAGTGCAATTTCTACGGCAACACGACTTTGACGGACTGGACTACGACTGGGAGTTTCCTGACGCAGATAGCAAGTCTAATTTCACAGCTCTTCTTAAGGTGCTGAATGCCTGAATACGTTAATTTTTCATTTACCTTACTTTAAAGTGACCACACTAACGAAATCGATTAATGATATATGTGGCTCATAGATTTGAAGAGGAATTAAATACTTAAAGGTATATAATATGATTTAGACCTTTACAAAGCAATAAATAAATGTCAATAAAATATAAAAAATAGAATAAAAAGATGAATAAGTAAAAGGTTAGTACATAATGTCACGATTTAAAGACCCATTTCGAACTCCGTCTTGAGTGAAATTCACCAACCTCTCCATTACGAGAGTACCTCGAAAACAATGCAATTGATGTCACAAGACGAACACATTGATAAAGTGGGGTTGTGTAATCTAGGGTACGATAGTGGTCTCTTTGTTCACTAGTAGTCTGGTAACGCGGTCCTTTTTCAATTTAAATGATAGTCACGTCTGAACAAAACCATTTTTTAGTGAAAATAGGAGTAAGAACATAAAGAATAGGTCAAATTACCGAAAAGACATTTTAGAGTTTAAGAGATCTAAAGTGCGGTGGGAGAGATCTTACATTTAGTTGGTATTTTTGATAAAGAAAACCTCTCATTTTAGGAGACCAATGAAAAGTTCGAAACTGAGGCCGCTGCCACCGGTAAAAAGAAATTGATACTCTCAGCAGCAGTTGCCACGGGGAAATGGGCACTGGAGCAGGGGGGATATGAAGTCGAGGAAGTCTCCAGGTTTGAGCATTCGGAAAATCTTGGCAGATCCCGTGAGTCGTTTAACGAGTTACGGAATCTGCCGAGACTATCCGAACGCAGTGAACAAGTAGGCCTATGATAAAAATACCCCTCTGATATCACAGGGCATCTGAAATACATGTAGTTGTCACAGATTGAAACAGTTCATAAACCCACACAAAGTTGTACAATCAAGCTATGGAAGGACACAAAGAGTCAAAGACCGATTCCACTGCACATGAAATCCCTGGGCTGAGTCCCTACCTGAGACCGTTTTATCAGCCAGAAGAGTTTGGACAAAAGGGAAAATTGAAACCAAAGTGGCAACTAAGAACACACCCAAAGCCTCTGTCGCCATGGCTTCACCAAAACGTCAGCAGAAGTTCGAGATAGTGGCATCTGTGAGTGAAAAGCAACCAAAGAAGGAACAGCCAGTACCTGAAAACAACTTGGCACCATCTGTACCTCAGAATGAAACATATACTTAAAGTCATGAAGAAAAATCAAAAGCCTTTGAAAAGTCAATGCATAATAAACCACTAACTGTACAATTTTGCGTGCGTTTATGAACTTTTCAATCTGTGACAAAGTATACCAATTTGAAGTATATGAACGGGAAGGCATAGCGTTCCAAATGACTGGTCAATCATTTTGAACTAAATAATTCGACCAAAAAATAGAATAAAACATCCAATCGAAGAGCAGTGACCGGTCTAATAATTATTTCTGAGAAGAAGAAAATTGATCTTTTCCTAAGGAAAATTAATTTTGGTGGGTTAATCCATTATAGAGTTCCTTTAACTGTCACCAGTTGAAACTCTTATAGGTCAAAAATTTATCCTGACACGGACAATTAAAGCCTCATCATTTCACGAAATTGTGATATAATCCTTTATAAACGTCTGATGCACTTTTTTGAAAGGAGTGTGGATTTCATCAACCTTATGACATACGATTTCCATGAACTTGGACCTGCTCAGGAAAAACGCCTGGTGCCGAACGCGGCGCTCTTTTCAGGCGATGGAGAAAATGATGCAATGGCACCGCAAAATGTCGTAAGTGAAGGCTTTAAGATAAATGGACTATACTTTAAAAATCAAGTAAAATTATTCTTCTTAAACTGGAGGTCAGGCATATGAAAAAGATGGTTAAAAAGCGCTTTAAATAATATTTCACTTTGGGATATTTCAATTTTATAAATACATGTTGACGGGTTGTTTCAAAACATTTGTGTATCTGGGTTTGGAACATGGTGAAATGACTCAAGCGAAAAGTACGATCTTTTTGCAGGACTACGCAGTAAAAATGTGGATTGAGAAAGGAGCACAGCCAAATAAACTGGTTCTGGGGTTGGGCGCGTATGGAAGAAACTTTAAAACCCTAAATGGTAATACAACTCCGGGAGCGCAGGCTCTTGACAATGGACCTGCCGGAAAGTACATCAATGAAAGCGGCATGTACCCATATTTTGAGGTCGGTGATTTTTTTAACAAAGTTGTTTATTTTTGGTTTTGAAGTGTATACCTTGTATTTTCTACTATGGTGATAAACCGTGTGCAGTGTGTGCGTGTTGAAGCATTATTTCTGTATCATACCATTTTATGTTTGCATTAGGTAACGCTGTCAACTGCAAATCTACGGATTGGTTTTCGTATTTGTTGGCAGTGCCATGGGATATTTTTATGTCGCATTTCATTTGCAACTGACATTTTCTCGTTATTCTTCAGATTTGCGAGAACCTAAAAGACCCATCGTGGGAGGAACAGTGGGATGACAAGCGAAAAGTACCATATGCTTTCAACAGACAGGAGAACCTATGGGTGGGGTATGACAATCCTACCAGCATCAAGGAAAAGGTATATTATTTTAAGACTACTACAATAGCTTCAATTCATCAGTGGCTGAAGCAGCATTTCATACAGATACTGTTGTACCAATTTTGTATCATTTTCTACCATGGCACTGTATTACACCCAGAGTGTTGATTCTCATTTTGCTGTTTTTGAGTTTGGATACGGCGTTTCACTTCTGGTGAACTACCATTGGATGACATCAATTTTTTATTACTCGGAGTTTCATAAATTAAATAAATCTGGTGACATTATATGTACTGCGCGCCCGTTTTAGGTAGACTACGCCGTCAGTAAAAACCTGGCGGGTATAATGATCTGGTCTTTGGACATGGATGACTTCAAGAACAAATGTGGAAAGGGAAGTTATCCCCTGCTTAGAGTAGCCAACGAGAGACTGGCTGTGTATGAGAATTCCGCCACTACCGCCATGAATCCCACAACGACTCTTGGTAAGTACAATCAATGGAATGTTTCGAAACCGATGTTTAGGTTAGGTCTAAAGGAATTCTTGGAACCATTATCAAGACAAGCAATAGTAATTTACCAAGAGAATGCCCCTCTGACGAAAATTAAAATTTTTTTTTAAAGATATTCCTTCTAAAAACCATTTCTGTTTCCTTTCTTTTCTCTTCTTTTTCTTTTTTTATTGTTGTTACTTTTTTAATTTTTTAAAACATATTCCATTCACACATTTCAGTTCTTTGTTGTGGATTGTTATTCACAATTCTGCTACGGGCATAACTCTTCTGCTCGTACAGGTACTAGGCAAAATGGAAAGACTTTGGCGTTGTCATAAACAGGGAAAGAACTGTACAACAACCGTGGCACTAAACCCAGCTAAGATATTACATGTATTTGAGTGGGCAGCTTATGTTTCCATTAAACCTATTGATGTTCCACACGGTATTCACATAGATTGCTAAATCTAACCAAGGATGATAACAACTTCTTTTCAGATTTATGTATTTACTGTATTAAGATGACATAAGGTGACGTGATTTTTTACCTTGTAATATTGACTGATTTGAGCAAATGCCAATGATCCAAAAATTTTAACAAATATTATTTAATATTCATTGGCATAATGTCTTAATTAATGATTATTTTATAGTCAATAAATATGATTTCTTATGTTTTGTCAGTATCATTTCTGAATTCTTCTGGACCATTTATGTTGAAGTGTTTAAATGTTTTTTTTTTTTTTTTTTTTTTTTTTTTTTTTTTTTTTGTGGCAGCTTAAGAAAATTCATATTAAGCAAGAATTTAGAAATGCAGTAGAAGTTTTTGCTTAAAAGCACTTTTATGTCTCCTCCATCTCAGTGTACCACAAACTTTCATAGTCTCATTCATAACAAGAAAGAAGGCAACAAAGAATATTGATTGTTCGTGATTTGGCCAAACAAGGCCGCTTTTATTATAATGCACTGTCATTAGTACGTGAAAGAAAAATATTACAGTGGGGTGGTATGCATGTGGTCTAAAACACAAATAAAAGGCCTTAAGTGATGAGCACGTGAAGTGAACTGGACCCATACCACAACATGATTTAAGCCTTAAGTTTTCATATAAGTCTTTTTTCAAAATCTTTGATATGCCCATCCACCAGTGATGATGTTTGGGAGAAATCGAACCGCTGGTATTCACGTTAAGCGGCTTACAGAATAAATGACCCTAAAAAAAGAGAGAATCCCTCTCCAGCCTCTACATGTCTTGCAGTTGCGCAAACTCCCAGACTAATTGTTGCACGTAATGGATTCCACACTGAACTACTATTGCACAGTGCAGATTCCACACGGAAACTAGTCTCTCGGTTGAGAAAAATGTGTAAAGGCGGACTGTGATTGTGACGGTAAGAATACATACTGTAGAAAATTGTAAACGTTTCAGTTGATTTTTGAACTCCACAATATCAATTGTTATACTAAAGATGGCCAACTCATTGTCAATTAGCAAAGTATAGGCCACTTTATTATCATTTTTGTGCTGTAAACCATTTTTACCTTCGTTGTCTGAAAAGTACACGTGCACATGCGCCTCCATCCTAATTTTCAATATAGAATTATCAAATAAAGTAGAAAATGTAGTGTGTTTTAAAAAGACGCAGTCCAGTAACTTCTCCTGCTCTAAGATGGGCGGCGAAATCAACTGTCTTTAACATACCTCATTGCTAGTATCGCAGTACCCTAAGAGTTCGTTATAATATGTCCCAGATGCGCAAGCCTGTTCGTAAGCGTCGTAGCCACCCAAAGCCGAACATACGCAATATTTAGTGCAATCCTCGTGAGATTCGTATGGCCACCATTTTGTACATAGAACTGTAAGAAAATATTTAACATAAATACCATAATGAATAATCATATAGACCTAATGATACTTAGTACTAATAAAATGTTTGTAAAATTACGTTTACTGGAATCTACCGCCACCCAATTCTTGATATTTTGGATCAGCCACTTTGATGCCAAAAAAAAAAAAAAAA